CCCGCCGCTGCCGGGGGAGGAGCCGGCCCCGCCCGCCGCCGTTTGGGCCGCGCGGAGGCGGCGGGATGAGGCGAGCTGTCAATCAGCGGAACGGCGCCCTCTGGTTTGCTGCTGGGTGGCGTCACGTGGTAGCGGACTGTTAGTATATAAGGGCGGGCGGGGTAGGTCTCCGCCGCCATTTTGTCCAGTGAAGAAAAGCGGAGCGGGAGTCTCGTTGAGGGTCGAGTCGGCTACGAATTTAGCGCGGGCTCCCTTCGCGCGCCCTCCCTCTTAGCATCGGTGAGGATCTTCACCTCGGAAGGCGGGGGGGAGGCGGCACCCGCGGTCTCGGTCCTCGGCAGGGCGGATGGAAGCGGCGGGGCCCGGTGGCGGCAAACAAAGAGCAGCCGCCATTTTGTAAAGCTAGGCCGCGGGCGGCGGCTGCCGCTGCGCTGAGGAAAGCCGGGCGGGGAGAAGGCGGGTAGGCTACGGGTTGCCTTAAAGAGCCCGTTCGCCGCCGTTTCTCTGCGGCTGTGGTCAGTGAGGCGAGGTGCGGCTGGGCAGGGGGTGGTGCGGCGTCTTTTCCGCCGCTCGAGGGGAGCGCCGGTTCCTCACGCCGCGTATGCAGCGCTGAGGAAACGCTCTGGAGGGATTCCCCGAGCGCTCCCGGCGTGGTCTCCGCCGGAGGTGGCGCTGATTTTCCCCCCGGCCTGTGCACTTTCCCCCGAGTGTCTCTCCGAGAACAATGGAGCCCTGCTCCGGCGCAGCGCTCCCCCTGCAGGCCTGGTCCCCGCTGCAGCCCAGGGGCAGAGGGGCGCAGAGAAACAGCCCCACGGAAAGTTGCGGGCCTTAAAAGTAAACGAAATTCCCTAAAATGTTGAATTTTAATTACGGTTGCGAGATAGTAGATGACTTTTCTGTTCGGTTTTAAAACATACTCTTCCCCCCGCCCTTTCCACACAGGTAAATGTTTATCATGTCAGATCATATCACTGCTGTCGCTTCTGGGAAAAGCAACCAACAGAATTGCTTCCTTTGTAAATAAAGAAACACTTGCTGTCTGTTAAGTATACATGAGCTTTTTTTTGTCCTAGCAATGCATCGCGACTCTTGTCCGCTGGACTGCAAGGTTTATGTGGGTAACCTTGGAAACAATGGCAACAAAACTGAATTAGAGCGAGCTTTTGGCTACTACGGACCACTGCGCAGCGTATGGGTGGCAAGAAATCCTCCTGGTTTTGCCTTTGTGGAATTTGAAGATCCACGAGATGCAGCTGATGCAGTAAGAGAACTAGATGGAAGGTAAAATGTGCTGCTTATGTGTTTGGCTTGCCTGGTGAACACAAGAGAAATTGTGGGTAGTGGTACAATTTAAATTGGGAAGCTTCAACTGGCAAAACCAGGGACTTGATACGTTTGTCATGTACTACTTATTTGTATAGTGATATAAGGCCTTAATAGTGCAAGAATAGCACTGGGACAGTTAATTTTACATTTTGGGGTTAGACTCCCAAGTTAGTCATGACTTTGACCCTTTGGTCTGTATTGGTTAAATTCAAGGTAGTGCTACTATAAAGAGGAGGGAGACACTCTTGGTTCCTTCTCTGCCTGCTTTCATAGCATGGCGAGCTTTCAGAAGCAGCTGAACCTTTTGTCTGTCATGCCTGGAGTCTGCTTTTGTAGACTGAATACTGTGTACTTCAATGTGTATAGCCAGAATGTTGTTTTTCTCCTCTTGTTGCCTCTTTTCACTAACAATTTCCTAGGGTTTCTTGTGCACGCAGGCTTGTCCCTGGAAACGCTAACTAATTTCAATCTCTTTTCCCAGAACCCTCTGTGGGTGTCGTGTCAGAGTGGAGCTCTCCAATGGTGAGAAACGGAGTCGGAACCGTGGGCCACCTCCATCCTGGGGCAGGCGTCCTCGAGATGACTATCGCAGAAGAAGTCCTCCTCCTCGTCGCAGGTACCCTAGGTCAAAGTACACTCATAGAGCTGTTGGCACTGTTACCACTTAGCATCCTAGAAGCAGGCTTTTTAAAAGCATGTTGATGGATAACGTTCATCTATCTGATCACAATTTGGAGATGGCAAATGCTAAAAAAAAGGAAAAAACAAACCCCCACAAAATCGAGGTGAACTTAAGTTGTGTTGAATGTTGGCTTTTGTCCTTAGGTCACTGTGCAAGTTGGTAGTCAGTGCCCTCTATCCTGGACCTACCCTCGTTCCTCCTAAAATCTGCTCATCTTCTAGTCACACTTTCCCTTTCTTCCCCATACTTCAACTTAGGCTGTTCCTTTCCTTTATTCCATAATGGCAAAACATGACATACAGCAGCTTAGCATTTCCATACAGATGTGTTTCTCCGCTTTGTTTGCACAATTGAAATACTTTCCAAGCAGGCAGCTGTTTAATAATAGATCAAGTAACAGTTGCTCTAAACATCTAGAATCTTTACACTTTAGCGGTAGTTTGGAATTAAACCATCGTGTGACGATCCTGTCACTTGAGGTTTGCAAACCCAGCTCTAAAATATAGCAGGATTTTTGGTAACTGGCACGTTCTTGGACCCAGACTAGCTTGTCTGGCGGTTTAAATCTGCAACGTGGTTTTTGCAGGACTGAATTTACCTGTTGCAGGTGAGTGAAGTCCTCACAAGTCAGGGTTTCAAGCTTACCCTTTTGCTGTTGAAAAATAACACATTAGGAGTATTTGTTAGCTAATAGATGGTTGTACTGATGGCTTGTTTTTCATTTTTTTTATGCTTTTTGGTCCATCTATTAATAAAAATGAACCCGTTACAGAGTCACCATCATGTCTCTTCTCACCACCCTCTGAGTCTGCATTAGCCAGTCAACTAGCCCTTTCAGCGTCATGTGACCAGCGCGCCCCATGCAGCTTGGCTGGTGTCGTTTCACATGACCCAGGCATGGCCAGTCGTCAGGTTGCACCGCCCTTTGGTTCCCGAGCATGCTGTTTTCTCTCAGCCTTCTCTCCAACCTTAACCAAATCGGCAGCAGCCACCTCGACCGCCCACACATTCCCGGCCAATCAGCTCAGCTGTTTATTTACCAAATGTCTTCACAACAACTACAGCAGCAGCCTTCGGCTAACAAAAAAGCAGGAAAAATCCACAACACCCCCTTCGCCAACCAACTAAATACAACGCAACATCTGGCAAAACCTTTTCAGCAAATTCTTCTTGGCAGTCAGTCCGGCAGCCTCACCTCACCATTTCTAGCTTGTTGAAACCAAAAACTAGTAAGTTTTTCCTGCTTATACAGTTTACTGCTGGTTAAAATAAGGAGTAAGCGGCTTATAAGTAATTACTTTTCTCAATCAAAGGCTGGCTGTGCATAATTGAGTGGTAACGTACATATGTTGCTTGAGAAAACTTTTAAGGGTGATACGGAAGCTCTTACACTGTGAATAACGTAAAAACCAGTATATTTGCATGTGAGATGCCAAACTAAATTTTTAATAAAGCTCTAACAAACTTAGCTTTTCCTTGCCAGAAAAATCCTATCACCTTTAAATGGTTTTACTAACAGTTTTCAAAACTTAAAACAATTACTTTTTGGGATGAACTGGGCCGAGCTAAGGTTATTTTTTTTATTTTTTATTTTTTTAAGAAAATAGTCTAAACACACTCTATGGCATTAAAAATGACAATCACAGATATGCAGTTCTAATGTAGCACTTAATGGCATTATCAATATTTACACTGAGCGCATTTTCACTTTTTTTCCACTTGGTATCTCTTATGTCTTGTTATGGACCTTTTTGGCTTGCATGGGTTCCAAAACATTTGGTCTGTGCTTTTTTTTAATTTTTTTTTTTTTATTGGAACCACTTGTGGGACTTTGGTGTGGTGTTCTGGGCAGTGTATTTAGTTGAAATGGAAAGTGTTGCTTTGGACAAGTCTGCTTTGAAGCATTCTTAGTTAAAGTGAATTCGTGGTTGGAAACGTGCTGTTCACACTGAGCTTTGTTTTACTGCCTAATCTTTCCATGCCTTTTATTGGATGATGGATGCCAGTTATTCTTGGCACGTTCCCTGGGCCCAACAGTGAGTTTGACAAGTTGGGAAATGCCTCACCCACATTAATGCTAAAAGAATTGATAAAAAGCCTCACATTTCTTTTTCTGGTTCTAGATCACCACGAAGGAGAAGCTTTTCTCGCAGCCGCAGCAGGTACGCAGCAGTTTGTGACAGCATGGGCTGTTCTCTTGGGGAGGTTTGAAAAGAAACAAACCAAAGCAGTGTGACGTTTGGGCTGTGTGGAGTCCCGGGGAGGTGTTGTAACTTGGTAAAAGGGAGAAAGAGGCTTACTGCTGTCCTGTTGCTTGCCTGGAGTTAATAATTTACACAGCTGTTTGAGATTCCAGGGTTAGCAGTTAAAGGATACTAAGAATGGCAGTAACTAGTTTTTCTGTTCTGCAGCTGTCCAAGGTTCCTGCCAATTTTTCTTTAAAAGTTTCTGTGTTCACATGCTACTTTCCTCCAGATCCCAAGAGCCACAACATGGGATGAAAAAACATCATGAGCATGTTCTGCTGTTCCGTACTGCAGAGCGTTAGGTGATGGTGATGCAGTTTGTGTTGGGAGCTTTGAAGCCTCCAGAGTTCATGTGCGATTTTTGTTCCTGCAGCACAGGAGGCTGCGCTGCTGTGAGGGATGTGTAAGTCCACATGGACACGCCAGGTTAGCCGAGGCACCAGTTTAAACTGCGGTTGCCTGTTTACAGCATGACTTAAGCTGTGTTGTACGGCTCAAGCTGATTATTCTTACCTGAAGGAAAGACTAATATGATCTTTATCAGGTTTCTCCTGCTTGAATAGTTAAAAACCTTAAGGTGCTGAAGGGAAGCTCTTCAGATCGCATGGTTCACCTCATTCAGATTTGATTTGATGCTGCAATCATCTTACATTGTTGTCTTTAACAGGTCCCTCTCCAGAGACAGAAGAAGAGAGAGATCACTCTCACGGGAGAGGAATCACAAGCCTTCTCGTTCCTTCTCCAGGTCTCGCAGGTAGGATGAGTCTTGCCATGGTTAGCAGTTTGAGTAAATCTGTAGAGATGATCGTTGCCGTGGTTTGATAATATTGAAGAGAGTTGTGGTGGAGAATCTGTAGTGTCCTACAAGGTTCTTCACCTTAAATTCAATACTCAAGTTTTCTTAAATGAGCAGTATTCTTAAAATGCTGAAATATCATCTACTTAATGTCATTGGGGTTGGGGGGATTTAAGGTAAAATCTGCTCTTGGCCTCTGGATACTAATGTGTCTCTTCTTCTTCAGTCGCTCCAGGTCAAATGAGAGGAAATAAGACTGTGAGCAGGAGCTGTGTACAGGAACTCATTAGATCTGAGGACAGGAGGAGTATGTACAGAACATTGTTTTGTTTTGAAACTTCATAAAGCTTGGTGCATTTTTAAAATGTTTTAGCTGTTGAACTTGCTTTGTTCCTTGTATCTTGTAACAGGTGGCAAATGTAAAGATGTGAATCTGTATATGGTTCTGAGCAGATCATATGATTTGTAATATTAATCACTTCACAATGTACCGTTACGCACGGTTGTTTGTTTGTGTTGAATGGGAAGCAGTTTGTCTTGCTTAGGTAGAAGAGTGCGTCTGGTCTTGACCCGCTGGGCTCTGTTTTGCTGGGACTCTGTGCAGTGGGGACGTGGTCACTGTGGAAGCGTCGGTCTGTGCCGAGTGGGGTGCAGAAACAGCCAGGAACGCCGAGGGTGGCCTGGGAAAGGGAATGGCTGAGCTGCAGTGGCATCCCGAGCTCTAGTTCTGACTTCCATTACCTGGAACCGAGCTACTTTATATTACATGGAATATAAATTTTTAGCCGTGTGGTCAGTTAATTTTGTACTTCATGTGACTAGAGTACTAATTAAATAGGTGATTGTTGGTGACCATCTATTCCAGAACCTCTGAATAGACCAAATACACAGCAGAACTGACAGCTGGAGTGGGTGGGTTGAGTGTGTAATGGTACATTGTAAAAGTTAGGAATTAAACATTTCTTTACTGTACAAGAATTTTCATGTCACTTGTAAAATGTCTTTTGTGAGATCCTTGGGATTAAAGTTTTGGTTACAACTTGTTGTTCAGTATTTCACTTGAGTAGTACCTGTATGTACATTTGCATCACGGAACATGGCGCAGCGTGGTTTAAATTCAGTGTGGTCTGGACTAAGATGGTGCTGGGACGTGCCTGGGAAGGGTCAGGTGCTGCTCTACATTGCAGGTCCCTCCCTGTCATTGCTCTGCACCCTAGGCCAGGGCTTTCATTCTCCCTCACATGAGTGCAGTGAGTTCACAGACTGCCCGAGAGAGGCTGTATCAGTTGTGTGTGTTCAGATTAAATCTGTTGTACTGAACAATTGTGGTTTAATTTCCTTCACTTGTGCTGCCAAGGTGAGGACAACATGATGGCAAAGCGGCAGTGGAAAAATTCTGCTGCTTTACAGGCTCTGAAAGAGGGGTGTGCCCAGTACAGGTGCAGCAGTCAGTCAAGGTGGCAACACCTGTCTTCATGCATGCATTTAACTGCTCAGACCAGGAGTTCGGCAGCCCCTGGCCCAAACCCCACTGTGGTGTGAGCAGAACTGACCTGTTTGCTGAAAACCGGGAAGGCTGCAGACGGTGTGAAGGGCGCCCCCAGCCCTAAACGGTCTTAAATTGGGAGCACCCTGAGCTTGAAAGACAGACGTGATCTGGTGGGCTTGGCCCAGGGAATTTCCTTCTGTGCGAGGGTCAGCGCCGCTGCCCGGGGCTTTGCTGCTGGCAGGGCCGTGTAGGCAGGGTCAGGGCCCCGGTGCAGTGATCCCGCGGCGGGTGCTGTGGCCGCGCACTGTCGCGGTTCCCCGGCAGAGGTCGGGGCGGCCCCATCAGCCGGGTCGGGGCTCCCGTCCTGCTGAGTCCGGCTCAGGTTCGGCCTCGGGATGTTGAGCGCTGCGGGGCTGCGTGTGCTGGGTGAAAGGCAGCAAGGCCCCAGATGGTATCATGTGCCACACACGGCCGCCTTCCCTTTTCTAAGACGCGCTTCTGCCGGGGTTTGATTTGTGGCAGGATTGCCGACGTGCTGCCTGGGAGCCGGCTCCCGCCTGCTTCCTCTTGCGGTCACACCAAGGGGCGGCATCGGCGGGGGTACAAGTAGCCTTCAGTAGTTTCAGCTACCCCAGGGAAAGGAGAGAGAGAAATCTGAAGCACCAGAGACAGCGGACGCTGCAGGGAAACGCGTTGTGGTTTTCGTGTGCAGGGCAGTCTGCAGAATGGGGAGTGTTCACTGGTTTCAGGTTTCTGACTTCGTATTTTCGTCCTGAGCTGAATGCAGAAGTTGGCCCTTAGGCTGACTCAAGAACTGCTGCCTCGCAGCAGACTACTGGTTTTATGTAATCAGGTGGGGTTTTGATGGGGAACAAAATTAGTAACTTGTAGAGAGGGATGGGAAATGTATAAATACTGACTGCGAACAGCCCTTCTGCCAGGGTATCATTAACAAGTGTTATTTTTAATGCAGCAACACACATGGATTTAAGGCTTCCAGTTTGCTTCTGTGAGGGGGTAACCAGCCTGGGAGCACCACGTACAGTATTGTGGCTCCTGGTTAAAGTCAACCCTGAAATTAAATTGACAAGAAAGTGTTTGTGTTGACCTTCTAAGGCCAGGAACATCCCTGAGCAATTCTTAAACCAGGAAGAGCCGCCAAGCGATCTGTCCTGGCCAGAAGGGGACAGACAGACGCTCTCCGGGGGTTCTTCGGCAGAACTGGGTGGCTCTCACCCCACCCTTGGCAACAGCCCAGCTCTGAAGGCTCCCGGGGGACGGAGGAATCTACTGTCTGCTGCTTTCTGAGTTGTTTCCAGGCCCGATTTCGTGGTACTCAGTTTGGCGTGTTAAGCTGCGTTTAGTCTGGGGGGAGGTTTCTCTGCCCCTGTTTTGCCTGGCGGAGGCCCCCTGAGGTTAATCCTGCCGGGCTCCTCGGCCGCCCGTCGGCGCGGGGCCTCAGCGCATCAGAACTACCCTCTGATGATGAGCAGTTTGTTCTTTCTCACACTCTCCCTAGGGAGAGTATTGTGTGCAAATGGTTTTGTGAAAAAAGGGATTTATATTTTTTCTTTTTATGTACATGCTGCTCTTTGCTCATTGGCAGAGAAGATAATTTTAAGAATGCGCCTCGCACTTAGAAAACGGAGAGGTGAAATATGTTCTTTCTGTCAATGGGATGTGTTCCACTGACCTGTGACAGGTTCAGCTCACCAGGGCCCGGCCTGGGTGAGAAGCTGCAATCTGACAGAACCCCAACTTTTAGTTTAAAAAAACGTGTTTCAGCTGCCTTTGGGAAGCCGCTGCAGTTACCACCAAAGGATCACACTGCTGGAGCTGGGCCGTACTCTACTCCAGTCACACCAGGAACTAAAATACATTCTTGATAGACGATCGCTTGCATCTCATACTCTGTCTTTGCATTTCTTTTTGTTTGAAGTCAGAGGAGACACGAGAGAAGCTGCACTGGGCCCTTGGCTCTTCCCTCAGCAGCCGGTGCTTCCAGCAGGGGCAGGATCTGCCTCATCTCCCAACGTCTCCGTGGTGCTTCAGGGGGGATCTGCCAGCACAACTCACCGCTGCTAACCTGGCCTCTTTTCAGTTTCCAGTTTTACTTTCTTTTACTCATGATCCTGTCACCACAAGCTGCCACAATGTCTCCTGACATAAAGATCCGCTGTGGTGGTTTAGGCCCTGCCAGAACCGGAGACCACATTGCTGTTGCCCCTTCCCCACCTCCAGCCAGTCAGGCTGGCAGTGAGGCACAAACCCGGGGTTAAAATAAGAAGACATTGTGTGATAAACAATCTGAACAACAACAGTAGCAATGATGACAACAATAAACAGCAATAACAGTGAACAAGACAAAAGATATACAGAGAAGTACCGCAGTGGTTACGGACAGCCCCGTGCTTCCTGCGACCAAAGCTACAAAGGAAAAAGTTCCCGCGCTCCCACGGCCGGACCTGACATCAGCATGGTATGAATAACCGGGCTGGAGATCCCTTCCCCCTTCTCTCTCTTAACCCTATCCTAGCTGAACCAGGACATCCACGAAGCAGCTGAACATTCCACAAACTTTCTCCCATTTCTGCTGGTTGTAATCCCTGTCCCCATCCCCACGTTCAGATCACACCCCAGAAACACCGTCACTAAACCTGAGCTACAGCCACCATCATGAATCATCCTGCTTTAGTGCTGATGGAACTTAACGAGAAAAGAAAAAAAGTGAAAAAAATGGAGCATCAACCCCTTTGGCAAACAGGAGGGCGAAGGGCGGAAGCACAGTTCCAGTCGCTCCGGTTCGACCTTGGATCCCGCTTGGCGAGGCGACAGCGCAGCACCAGACCTGCCGGAAGGAGGCGGGTCTCGGTTCCCAGCTGCTGAGACGCAGCTACCTTCCATTCCACATCTCAACCTGTCAAAAAGAGGCAAAATAAAGACAGTTTTCACTTGGCAACTATTGAAGTCCCTTCATCAAGCTGTTGCTGAAGCCGAAGCAGCATCCCAGCCTGCCAGCCCACGCAAGAAACGTTCTGGCTTCCTAGAAATACTGTCGCTGTCTCAGCTTTCTGTTTCATTTCTAAAGTTTCACTGAGGATCTTCTCCTGGATGGCTGAGGCACCCCCATCAGTCCCATTCTGTGAGTGCCCTTCAGACAAATACTGTTGTGGCCTAAAATAAACATGAGATCCAGACAAATATAAAATAGACTATGCAATAGGAACGCTATGTTCTCAAGTGATTCATTCATCTATTATTTAATAATTTAGTAGCTGACATAACTCTTAGTTGAACAAATCTTCACATTGATTCAAGTGGTGTTTCTGATCATCCCTCAAAAGTAATTTTAGCTGTCAGATTTTCTGAGGGAGTCATCCCAATCGGAAGAGGGAAATGTACCTCCTTCCCAGCTAGATTCTACCACCAATTTCAGTGGTGTTACTCCACAACCTGCCTGTGGTACCCCAGGATTCATCCTGCTCCAGTCAGAGCCAGACTGTGCCGTCCCCGGGCTCTTCTCTGGGCAGCACAGGAACGCACCCGTGGGATGGGATGTCCCGAGAGCACGTGCAGACCCCGCGCCGCTGCCTGACGCCACCAGGGACGAAGCCGTGGTGTGAAAGGCTCTTGGCAAGCTGCACCCTCCGTCGGAGCCACGGTATCAGGGTGGAGCAGCCGTATCAGGGTGAGGCACCCATGTCACCCTGGGTGTCACTTTGGAGCCGGCTGGAAGATCGCTACAGGCAGCTGTGAGAGAGAAGCATTATCTCAGCTGCGTGCAGAGGCCGCTTTGTCCATGAATATTCAGCAATATTCAGCAGCGTCTCTGCGGGGGAAGCCCCCGCTGCCCCACCCAGTCTTCCCCACCGATGCCAATGGTCTTTGGGCTCACACTTGGTCTTTGCTATAAAGTGTTTGCAGTCGCTCGTTTCTGACTAATCCTGACATTATTTGCTGTCGCATTAAAACGCGGTCGGTCACCGCAGAACGCCCGCCGGCTGGACCAGGGGCCGTGCTTCCTGCTGCTAGTAAATGGTGGATTGATCAGCTTTTCATGGGTCTATTATAAGCTTTTTGGGAGGAGGTTGCCCCAGCCACAGAGATAGGCTTCAGGTGTGGTACGCTGCTGCTCCCGCCAGTGTAATTCTTCTGGCTGCCTGCTTGACATGTCCCACTCAGGAACTCGTGGTTGAGTGTTCCCCAGATTTGGAGTCAAGAGTTCCCCTGCACGGGCCCAGTTTGATAGGGACTGGTGGGGTATTTTTTGATCTATAGACATTTTCAGGTTTTCATGTTTCACAACCTCCCGTCTCCCTCTTTGTCTCCTTCCTGCTCTCTCTGTGGCAGATTGCAGTTGATCGTCTGTAAATCTTTTGGTCTTCTACAAAGCCCAAGTTTGTTCCGGGAGGACGAGAAGGGCTCTGCTGCAGCATCGCTGCTGGCAGGTGACATATGGGACATTTTTAACCCATTTCCAGCCTCTGTTACATTACTGACAGCAGCTCCAAGATTCAGCAAATTTCCTTTCTCTGATGTAATGTGGATTCTCACAGGCGAGGCA